AAGGGAGGCAGCGGGAGCTTTTTCTGTCCTCTTTCCATAGGCTAGGCGTCCCACAGGTAGTGTGACCTTTAAATTGAGGCACAGAACAAGCAAGGCAGCCGCACACTGGTCCGATGATCAAAGAGCAGAGCGAGAGACAAGAAGGATGAGGCTCACCAAGCCATTTTTTATCTCTCTGCCCTTCAGTTAATCCCACTTGTGTTTATCGGCCAGGTTGGCACAATAAACTTTCTCACCTGGTAATACTGCGGGTGTGAATGGAAGGTCTGTCAGCTCTCTGGTATGCTTCCTGAGTCGCATCCACGTCTTTCTGCAAACGTCAAGTTCTCCTGGAAGTTAGCACTGCTGTGCATTCTTGCTAGAAGTGGGTGTGGGGCAGTTTTAAAAACAACAGAAGTTACTTTTCTGTTTATGTCTTTGGCTGTCTAACGTTCATGTTGCAAGCATAGCTGTAAGTGGTGAACCAGCTGCCTCTGGGCGGAGAGAGCCGCGTCCAAGCACATCGTTTCTCTCATTAGGAGAGACAGGGATGCTGTCTTACTCCCTATCAAAATTCATGAGAGGCTGAGCTTCCAGTGAATTATGGAGGACCGGCTGTCACCCACAATTCAGAATGGCTCTAATTTATTGATCATATTTGTAATGTGCCTTGCCTTCTGAAGTCATAATTCTTATATGACCAAGTATTAGGTTCCGAAATGAGACAAGTTAAGGTTTGTGAAAAAAGAGCCACTAAAAATGCTCTGTTCAAGGTCCTTACTCATTTCTTCTAACATGCAAATGAAGGAGGGGAGGCAAAGAAACACTGTGATCTGCCTGCAAAAGAGGTGTCTCTCTGTGAGCCATTAAATTTATGTAGATATTTATGCAAAAAAGTATGCAAAGTAAGAACTAAAGGCAAATGGGGAGATGTGCCGTTGCTTTCCTAGATTCATAGTTCTTACTTTATTCCCTTTTAACGGAGACAGCCGTTCAATTTTCCTTCCTCTCGTGTTAACTCTTAACCTTGGGAGACAGCGCGTCTTAGGGAAGGACTCATTTCTCCATGGTGGAGGCTGTGTTTTGTCCTCGCTAAGCATCTTGGGCTACACAGTGCTGGTTTCTGCAGCTCCGCTCCGGGCCTGCTCTGTGGCTAATCTGGGCCGAGGGGACGCTGTAACCGAGCTTTCTTCTTTCCTTGATTATTTGAAAATGCATTCTTTTTTTCCCCCCAGCTGCCAAAGGGAGCCCCTCCATCCATTCATCAAAAATTCCAAAATACAAAGAATTGAGTTTTGTCGTTTTTTACCCATTTTTTGTCACCCAATGTTGTTTGTTAACATTGATAGGATATCAGATGTTTTCTGATTTCTGCTTATGAGGGTTAGTTTTTCTTTTTAGTCACAATTTCTTCTTTGTTAAGAAATACATATTTTCAATGTCAGTGCTGATGACACTCCCCAGGTGGTACAGTAGAAATGTGCTGTGTAGGGCTCTCCATGGCTGGTGTTTGTGTGTGTGTGTGTGTGTGTGTGTGTGTGTGTGTGGTTTTTTAATCACATCACCAAACCTTTCTTCCTAGGATCCTGTGGGCGCACCTAAACCTTCAACCTTTTGTTTAGCAGATAAGTGAGTTAGCCATCTGCATCATGCAGGCATTTCTTTCCCATTTCACTCGATGCCAGCGAGTGGATGCCCACTCATAGCAACCCTTTAGAACAGGGTGCATCTGCCCCTGTGCGTTTCTGAGTAGGTTTGTATGGGAGTGGAAAGCCCTGTCTCTTTCCTTGGAGCTGGTAGTTTCAAGATGCAGGCCTTGCAGTGAGCAGCCCAACTAGTAACTACTACCCCTCAGGGCTCCTTCCTCTCCCACTTTGATGTTCATGTCCTGCTTCTCTTATGGGCCATCGCCACCACTGCAGTCCCCTCTAGTCTATTTGACCTGGGAGACTCAGCTCGTCTTCATGAATGGCTTACAATGTGCCAGGTGCTGGGCTGGGCACTCTCAGACACATTCTCCCGGGAATTCTCATAACGAAGATGCAGTTGCTTCCCGTTTCTAGTAGAGAAACTAAATGGAGAATGGAGGGGCTTTTGCAAAGTTGTTTAAGAATGTGATTCCTCTACCACTGAGCTGGAGCTGAATGAACCCTGTTCTGACTCAGGGGCCCTTGCTCCTTCTGTTTGCACACAGCACGTGTTGCATGGCTCACATTTCCTGAGGGGCTGTGCCATAAATAAAGATACAATAAGGGGAAAAGGAGACAGGAGTGGAAGATGCCACATGTTAACAGTTACTACCATTGTCTTTTATTTTTTTAAAGCAGTGCCTACAATACACAGAAGTTGCTTTACTGATATAAAAAAACAGTAAGTCATGGTAAAAAAAATTGATCAATCTTTATGGTCCTATAGTTTCCCCCCATTTGGGTCTGAATAGACTTGGGCTGCCTCTTTAGTGAATTTAATGTTCTTTTGCTACCTGCCTGGTAGGGAAAATTCATTCCTAATTTCTAAGCCTTACAGTGGCCATTTGAACCCAACCAATCTGTAAATCAAAGGTCATGTTGTATTTGGACAAAAACACTTATTCTTTCCCCATTTATCCCAAATAAGAGTTTTTCAAACTGGGGCAGAAAGTAGAATCGGTGAATTAACACTTTGTTTCCTCCACCACCAGGTGTTAACATGTATCACCACTTCTGTGACTTCCTGAACCTTTACATCACTCAGCACATCAACAACTCCTTCAGCACAGACGTGCACATCGTCATGTGGGACACGGTGAGTGAGCCCTTGCTCGGAGCCTGTGTGACTCTTGTGCTGAAACGGGAACTTCCGAGACACACACACCTGAGTGGAACACAGACACAATTGATACAAATGGAGATGAGGATGAATGGGTGCATGTGTGCATTTACACACACGTATGCGGGTGTGTATATATTTGTGTGCTTTTGTGTTTGGGATTAGAAAGGGAGGCAGTGGGAGCTTTTTCTGTCCTCTTTGGGCAGATAGAGCTCTGGAGACCAGGGGGCCAGTGTCCCTCTAGGGCAGCGGTATGAAGACTTTTATTCACGTAACGGCTGTGACCTCCGTTTGAAGAGCTCACCTCTCTGCAGTTTGGCCTCTGGCATGACCTGGTCTGCCTTTGCTTTCCTCTCACTACTTGCTTCCTGCCACCGTGGACTGCCCCCAGACAGCGAGCCTTCGTTACATACCTAAGCAGAGGCATGAATCACGTGGGGGACATCAACAGTTGGCACTGAAGCTCCCCAGCTTGAAGGCATCCAGTGATGCTATGGAAGAAAAACCTGGCAGCCCACTTGCATAACGATGTGGCCAAGAAGTCCCTATGGAACAGTGCTGCCCTGTAACACGTGGGGCCACCATGAGTCAGGCCGACTCAGTGACAGGGGTTGGTGCTTTTGGTGTGTTTCATTGCTTGGTTTCATTTCCGTGCATAGCGGCGCCCTGTCCTTCTTCTCTTGGCCCTGATCCCTCACTTGCTCCCTCTCTCGTATTTCCTCCTTCCTTGACTGCTTATTCCCTGCCCTTCCTCCTGCCAAGGGAACCTTGAAACTGAAACGGGAGACTGGGAGCATCAACCTCAGTGCCCTTGTGAGGATTAACCATGTCCTGTGCACACAGTCGGCCCTACCTGGCTCACAGTAAGTGCTCTCTGCATACTGTCAACTACGACGATGCCAGGACTTTGCACACTGGAGAAGTTTCCTCAGCACTGAGAAGTTGGAACATCGCGCAAGACTCAGCTCCTCGCCTTGGAGTGAGTCTGCCCAGGATGGAAGGGAGGAGCCCTGCATGGCAGCAGGACTGCGCTGGGCTTTTCTTCCAGGGGGAATCGTTCCAGCAGCCACCTAGTTCAATGAACCTGACATGCAAGGGGATGAGGTCCCGTTGGGCTCAGTTTGACTGAAGGACCTCATGTTCCTCCGAAGAGGCCAGCAGCCCCAGGAGCAGCTGTTTGGGCAGAGCTCCAGATCCCTGCGGGAGACACACCCAGTGTCAGGAATCAGAGCAGGCAGTGATACCCAGGCGTGCCGCAGTTTACACATCAAACACCTTTAAGTCCTCAGCAATGTTGCCTGGATACCTGGCCAGCACACGCCATCTTTCTTTTCCGAGGCAGATACCCCAAGGTCAGATTTTTTGCTCTCCCTTAGCTCGGGGGCTCATAGGAGAGCCCCCCAGAAAGGTTTTCATTCTCACCGCTCTTGAGAGCTGTGGTTGAACGTGCAGTCTGATGAGAAGGCACCTGCTCATTCTTGGCCCGTCGTGCTGTCACTAGGCCTTCTGCTCTCCGTGCACCCGCCTCCCTCTCGGCTTCCCGTTTTGCTGACGCAGTTTGCTTGCTTGGAAATGCTTTGTGAGCAAAGGGAACTGCCATTCCTGTCTTTTGTGTGTGTAAGCACTTCCTGACCACAATCATCTGCAGCTCAAATGACCAGTTGTGGGTGTTTTGCCTTTTTCTTTTTAAATTGAGCCTGACGGGGGCTGGTTGGCTCTCACTAGCACTCTGACTCGCTGGCCTAGTGTGCGGCTGAGCAGCAGGCACTTGGTCCAAGGCAGCGCCGTCTACAAGAGGAGGCCAGGGAGGCCGATGGGAGCTCCTGGCTTTGTCGCCTCCCTGCAACCTCTACGGTGTCTCTGGGTGCAGCCAACGGTTAGCATGCTTGACTCCTGGCTGGAATGTTAGAGGAAAGACTGGATGGTTTACTTATAAAAGTCCAGCCATTAAAAACCTAGGGCTCACGCTTCTGTTTTGACCCCCGTGCCCCCTACGGCTCGTGGTGAGTGAGAGTGGACTGGACGGCACCTCACTCGGTGCCCAATGGCGCTGTGTGTTCTGGCTCACTCGACAGGAGAGTTCTAAGTGTGTACACACATGCACAAGCTGAATCATGTGGCTGACACAAGAGCGGCTTGTGCTTGATGACTGCACTCAAACTTGGCCCTTCAAGGTGATTGGCACTGGTAGCACGGCAGAAAGGCCCGAGGGTCTGCTTCTGTGAAAACCTCTGCAGCACCCATCGGCAGCCTGATTCTCAGACGCCTCGAAGCTTCTCTGCACCTTGTTGCGTGCTGCCCCATGTCCTCCTCAAAGGGACCAAGTGAAATGGAGCCTACTGTCATAACCCTGCCCCTCTCCGTGCCAGCCTGGGGTGAGAGGTCTCCCAGGGAACTGGGTTTCTGATAACAAGGCAGGCTGCCTGAGCCATGGACCATCGACTGCCCGGTAGGCAGCCTTAGCAGTCAGGCTGGCACTGATGCCGCCTCTCTCTCCTGCTGCTCTCTCTGCTGCTCTTGTTGTTGTTAGGCGCGGTCAGGGTGGTTCCAGCTCATAGTGGCCCTCTGACAAAAGCAGGAAACACGGCCCGGTCCTGCACCAGCCTTGCAATTGTTTGAGTCCTTTGAGGCAGCCACCGTGTCAAGCCATCTTGTCGATGGTTTTCCTCGTTTCCACTGCTAGGCTGCTCCACAGTAGTCTCAAAGGATCGACCGGGTTCGATGGGGTCAGTGTGATGGTTTTGTGTGGCTGCTGCTGGGTCCCTATTGGAAAGGAAGGCCTTGGATTAAGGTACACTGTGTGCCTTACCCCATCACGCCTCACCCTGCCCCCGGACCGTGACGTGGGCCCTCCTGAGTGGATGGCACTGCTGTAGAGGCAGTCCCGAAGGTTTGGCGGTGTGGAGGTCAGGGAGGTGGTGGCGGCTGCCATTCCAACTTGGTGACACAAAACGCTGTGGCATTTTGCAGACTGCTTCCACCAAGAAGCCTGTGGGGCCTCGGTGCCGCTCCTTGCACAGCTGGGCAGCTGTGCCACTCCCTGCACAGATGCAGGGGCCCCCTATGCAGTTGGGGTGCAGTCGGCACAGCAGGATGCCCTTGTGAAACTGTATCGATAGAAGAGGAGGCTACTGCAGCCTCTGGGCATTTTATTGTGCAGAGAAATTGTATAGCTTTACTCATTTAAAAAAATCAAATGTGTAAAACCTGTTTCTGCCTAGTTGATTCTGACTTATGTGGCCCCATGTGTTACAAGTAAAACTACCACACAGGGATCTCCTGATTGTTATCTTTATGACAGTTGACCGCCAGGCCTCTTTTCTTTGGTGCTCCTGGGTGGGTTCGAACTGCCAACCTTTAGTTAGTCGTTGAACACAGACCATTTGTTCCACTCCGGGGCATGCAGGAAAGGAATACTTGCTCATAATGTGTTCAAAATCACGTGAAGTTCAGAAGACGGTAAAAATTGTAAATGCCTCTTCCTCACCTCTGAGTTTGTTTTTCCCAAATACAATCTGAGCTATCAGTTGGATAAGTTCTTACAAGACTTAATTTTTTAAATAAGTATAAATATATCATAAAAATAGAATTAAATATTTATATAAAGATGTGTGTATGTGTATTAAAAGTGAAACCCATCCTGTACCTGTTGATTTGATTCTGAATCACGATGACCCATTGTGTTGCAGACTAGAACTCATCCATAGAGATTTCAGGCTGTCATTCTGCGCAGAAGCAGATGACCACACTGAGGCGTCTTCTGCAGTGCTGCTGCATGAGCCCAAAACCAGCCTTCAGGTGATAACGTAGGCAGAAGCAAGCCGTCTGCTCCCTGTACTTTACATGTGTGCGCGCACACACACATATTCCAGTTTACTTTACCTATCTCTGTTGCTGCTGCTGGAAATATATACAGCTGGACAGACACCGATTCAGGAGTTTCCACCTGTACCGTCAGCTCAGGTGACATTGATGACATTTTTAAAATGATGTAGCCACTCTCACCCTCCTTTTCTGAGTTGTCCTTCCCTCATTTACATGCACCCAACAGCCCCTAAGACTTCTGGGTAATTTTTCATTTGATACCACACAGATGGCTCTTCAAAGAGCTTAAGGCAGGCATTCTCTATTTGATTTTAAGATGACTTCAGGGAGTTTAAGGTCTGAAAATGATTTCATGTCAGTAGTTTTGGGGGTAAAGGTAAATTTTCATCCTTATATAAAGCATGCACTTTCACTTAACTGATGGGTCTTATATCATGGGCATCTTTCTCAGTCAGTACACGTGGGTTATCCGGCTGTAGTGGTCACGTGAGGCTTGAGTCTGGGTTTTCTGCACATTTGATGTGTCTGTGCACATACTTATCTGGTCATATTTAATTTGTTTCTCATTCCTTGTTATTAATTAAAATGTTGCAGTGAGCATAGTTACCTTACAAATACAACTTACCCACTCATTGACCCTCATATTTCTGAGGGACCACTGCCTGTAAGTAAAATTTCTAAGTCACAGGTGATGTGCATGTGTATATTGGCAAGGCACACAGGGAGAATTTTCATGTCATCTTTTAGAATATGCAAATGTTATTAGACATGAGACTTGGAAGAAAATTCTCCTTCCTCCATGACAGGTCATTTGAATTTGGGGGGCGTGAGTGGTGGGTATTACTGAATAATGCATCGTTTCTCTGAGAAAGGGCCTGCATGACTTTATTTTATTATTAAGCTTTCCTTTCAAAGGTATCTCTTGCTATCTCAAGTATTTTATTTCAAGAAAATGCCTAGAATTTTAATTGCCCTGTATTTATTATTGAGCCAGCGCAGGAAAGTTTCCTTGTGGATGGCCTTAGGAAACCCTTGCATTTGAGTGGCATCTACCAGTTCTCAGTAACTTTGAAATCATTTGAACTTGTCCAACATGCAGTCTTCAAAATCAGGTACAAAGAATGCTGTAAAATTTAAAAGACATGAACATAAGATGTGTAGACCCAACTGTACACCTTGAATATAATCTTACAGTATAGATTTATTTCAGTGGGCTCAACTTTTTGATAGCAATTGTACTGTTTAACATTTTCTATCCTTTGTTGGGTAGAAGGCGCTTGTAACTACTTTTGACTTTTCAAGAAGGAAATGCATTCAGTAAATGTGTTAGAAAGAACTGGTGCCCACTGAGAAGCACCTGCTGTAAGGAGATTATAAGCCTAGAACGTGGGACTAGAGGGACCAAGCGTACTCCCAGCCCTGCATTTACTTCTGTGTTTGTGTTTACATTTTCTCATCTGTGAGAGGGGATAATAATACATTCTAACTAATTAGGGTGTTAAGATGGGTTAGTGAGTTAACAATGTCAAATGTTTTTTTTTTTTTAACATTTTATTAGGGGCTCATACAACTGTTATCCCAATCCATACACACATCAATTGTGTAAAGTGCATTTGTACATCATTTCTCAAAACATTTTCTCTCCACTTAAACCCCCGAACAATGTCAAATGTTTAATGTAGGGCTTGGAAAATTGGCACTAACAAAATATTATTGTCACTATTTGTTATGACTGTTAGTGGGGAATCACATATTTTGTCCAATAGCCACTGGGGAAATAATTTCATAGCATTCATGCATTTTATTCGGAATGCTGGGGGTTTGAAGTTGTTTTCCTGCTCGGACTTCCTTTTCAAAAGGACATTGTATTTACTTTCATGGGTTTTTTTTACTCACTGAACATGCCAGAGTGTGTACAGATGATTGTGTGTGTGTGTGTGTGTGTGTGTGTTATATGCATCTGTGACTGGTTCACAAGTTCACAGTGAGAAATGGTAAGAAGCTGCTTTCTAAACTGTGAAGATAATATGGATTAGAGGGTGGAAAACACTTTTACCTGGTTCAGTTGATAATACCCACATCCGTGGAAAGCATTTACATGGGGAACTGCACTGAAGGTGACATGCCTAGGAAGGTTGTATCTTTTCACCATACTTGTTCAATGTGTATGCTGGGCAAATAGTCCAAGAAGGTGCCTTATATGAAGAATACAAGATTAGAATTGGAGGAAGGTGGCGCACCTTGATGAAAGTGAAGAGGACGTAGAGCATTCACTGATGGAGCCTTCAGTGTGGAGTACACCACAATATAAAGTAAACGCGACTCCTCACCCTGGACCAATAAGCCAGACTGTGATAAAGGGAGAACACACTCGAGCTGTTCTTTCTCTTAGATTCACCATCCACACCAATGGAATCAGCTGTCAGTAAACCAAATGACACTTTGCATTGGGGAAATCTGCTGCAACAGATCATTTAAAAAATGTTTTGAAAAGCAAAGGTGTCACTTTGAGGACTAAGGTGTGCCTGACCCAATCCAAGATATTTTCTCTTGCCTTATAGGCATGTGAATGCTGGACAATGAATAAGACAGACTACAGAAGAAATGATGCACTTGAGTTATAGTATTGTTGAAGACTATTGAAAGCACGGTGGATTTCTAGGAAAACAATCACCTGTATCTTGGAGAAAGTACAGCTAGATTGCTCCTTAGCAATGAAGAGGATGAGTCTTTGTCTTGTGTACTTGTTACATGTTATCAGGAGAGACCAGTCCCTGAAGAAGGACATCATGCTTGGTCCAAAGTAGAGGGTCAGTGGAAATAGAATGGAGGGACACAGGGCCTTCAACAGTGGACTTCAGCAAGGGGCCCAGTGGTTGCGAGGATGGCCTGGCACGGAGCACTGCTTCTTTCTGTTGTGCGTAAGGACGTATGAATTACTACAGACCCTATGGCACCTAACAGCCACAAACTTCTAATAGTGATCATTATTGCTGATGTTTCTGAGAGATTTGCTCAGCCACCCCGATTCTGTCTAAAAATGTCTTATTCAATTTTTATGAGCTTTGTGATAGATTTTATGTCATCTGGACTGGACCAAGATTCTCCTGTGATGTAATCTAACACAGTGTAGTCTCTCCATGATAGGATCTTCTACAGAGCAGCCAAGCTTTGTGGGGAGAACAGGCCTTAATCTGCTATAGTCATGATGTGATTGAAGGCGATTTCATTCAGGTTGTAGTCTACTCTTTAGGTAAAGTGATAGTGTGTGGAAACTAGCTGACTTACACTACTGGATTTGGATCCTGTACCTGGTTGGTCAACCTACTGTTATATCGCCTGCACATCCCAGGAGCTGTGTCAGTTTGAGTTGACTAGAGAAACAAATTCATAGACATTCATATGTGTATAAGAAAGAGCTTTATATACAAGAGCAATTGAATATTAAGAAAATACCCCAGCCCAGTCCAGATCAAGTCCATAAGTCCAATATTAGCCCATATGTCTGATATCAGTCTATAAATTTTTCTTCAGACTCATGTAGCCATGCAATAATGCTGAATGCAGGAAGGTCACAGGCCAGTGGATGCAAAGTCTTGTGGATCCAGTGGCAGTAGAAGCATGTCCAGCTGGTGTGGGTCTCCACATGGCTCCTCCAGCTCCAGGGCTCTTGTGTAGCTCCATGTCTTGTCAACAGGACGTGTTTCTCGCTAGGAGAGTGTATCTGGCGTTCAGTGAGCTGTTTATCTCTGTAGTGCCTTGAAATGAGGTCATCAATCTGCGACCTGATAGACAGGTCAGACTCCACCCCTTCACAAGTTGACACCAGATTATGTAACTACCACAGGAGCCATCAGCTGACTGCCGACTTTGGATTCATTTGGCTGGCTTCACATTCCTTGAGCTCTGCATCCACCAGCCTGTGGTCTTCTTGCTTCAGCTTCCTGCTTCCTGTTCATCAGGCCCTGCAGCTACCAGAGTCAGGAGAAACCTTCAGCTTACATCTGATCTGACCCACAGACTTGAACTGGGCTGGACTTACCCACTTCTGCAACGGTGTGAGCCATTTCTTGGTATAAATCTCTTTCCGTGTACACAGAAGCATGTCTGCTTTTGCTCCTCTAGAGAACCCAGCCTAACACAGCTGGTTTAGGGTGATTCGTTCTTAACACTGACAAGCTAATTCAGGCATTGTGTTCCATCTTTGAAAAGCCTTGTAACTGTCCACTGCCCTGACTTCCTCTCTCGTTGTGTCCGCAGAGCTCCTATGGGTACGGCGACCTGTTCTCTGACACGTGGAAGGCATTCACGGACCACGACGTTATACATTTGAAAACGTACGACTCTAAGAGGGTACTGCACACGTTACCGGAATAATCTGTAAATGCTGCCACGTGCAAATGGCTCACTCATTAAATACTGCGATACCTCAGTTGTAGAACATCTCCAATCTCGAACTTTCCACGACTGGAAGAGCAAAGTTTGAAAAACAAAAAAAAAATCTACCTGGTGTTTCTAACTTGGCTCTGTGGTCCAACCAAAAATCTGACGTGGACAGAAGTGTACGCGCTGAGAGAGTCCCAAGTCAGGTCTCGCTTCGCACACAGAGGGACGGCGCTTCAGTCTAAGCGCAGCTGTCGCTCAGACGTCCTAGAGCATTTGTGTTAGCGCTTTAAAACATGCGTCAGTGGACTTTTAAGCGTGTGCTTTATGTGTGTAAAATATCAATTCTACTTTTATTTACTGTAGTGTGTTTGATATTTACTGTACTGTCTATATATCATGCTTAATTGTTTTAGGGGATATTTCCACAAACTAGGGCTGTTAACTTTGTGTAAAAATCATGGACAAATGAATTTACAAGTGTAATTTTTGGACCTTGGAACCAATTACTTGGTTTTCCATGGTTTCTTATGGGAAAAATAAGTTCTCAAGCTTTTCAGTGTTTGAACATGACTTTGGAATGAATTGAATTTGACAACCGAGGTAACGCGGTATTTAACAGATGCCTACCTTAGCCATTACTATTCATTTCTGGCTTCTTTGTCTCCTTTTTTATAGCTCACATCCTCACTTTTTTTACACCTGTAACTTTTATAAACTTCTTTTCATAGTTCCTCCTAGCATAGGAAATTCATTCTCCTTGAATGAAATGGTTGGCTATTCAAAATATCTTAATGCAAACTAGAGATTCATTAATTACTGCTTTCTGTCCTTGTAAGTGCTATTTTGGTGTGAAGATTTCAAAGTCTTCCCTAATCTTGTCAAATGCCTCCGTTCTTAGGTGTGTTTTAAAGAAGCTGTCTTTTCATTACTCCCCCGTATGAGGTATGGCCTGTTCTACAATACCCCTCTGGTAAGCATCTTGTCTGCGGTTAGCATTTGTATTTGTAGAGTTTATTCTGGACGGAGTTTAAGATGACATTTACATGTGACCCAGGATTCTCTTAAATAGCAGCGAAGATGTTTTTACTCTAAGGTGACGGGTGGCTTCTGTTCCAGATATCAGGCTGTCGGAATACTGGATTATTCAGGGCATTCTCCCAGCACGTGTTACACAGACTGAACATCACGCAGGACGGACCCAAGGTAATGCATGCATCCCATGTCCTGAGGGGAGCGTGGCTAGTCGCCCCCAATAGAAATCAATAACCTTTGCCCAAACAAAGGAGTGGGGGCACTGTTTCCTGTCTTACCATATCTGACTAGGTTGTGCTAGGTGCCGTCGAGCGGGCTCCGACTCATAGCACGCCTACGTACAACGGAAGGAGCCACGGCCTGGTCCTGAGCCAAGTTCACAGTGCTTCTCATGTGGGAGCCCTTGTGGCAGCCACGGTGTCAGTCCATCTTGCTGAGGGCCTTCCTCTTTCCACTGCCCCGCTGCTCTCCCATGCGTGACGTCCTTCCTTCTCCTGGGCCTGGCCTCTCCTGCCAACATGTCCAGCGCATGTGGGACTAAGTGTCACCATCCTTGTCTCTAAGGAGCATTCTGGTTGTACTGCTTCCAAGACAGATTTGTTTGTTCTCTTGGCAGTCCATGGCCTTCATGTTCTTGGGCCGCAGTGATCTGGGCTCAACTATCAACAAGCTATGAAAGACCCGCTAAAGGACATTGGAAGATTGTGCTTTCTCTCTC